TATGGTATTTTAATTTCTATTTTGTTTCTTATCTTCTGAATATGATTATGGGATTAGTTTGAGTCTTTTAGCATTCCAAAATACTCCTATCATATTTTAAACTTTATGTTTCGCTCTAGCATTCCTGGTTGGTAAGTTTCAGACCTGTTGCAACACCATATCACTCCCAAGCACACGTTCATCGCATCTCGAATAAATGTAGTTGATCATGTTACATTTATTCCAGCTTACGATTACATAACTACCCAGGTTTAATGGTAATGCTCAACATCTGAAGACTATTATTCTTGTTCTTCTTCTGATACTTGTGTTCGAGTGTTCAGATTCTGGATGTTCTTATACTTTGGTAAAATATGGTTATATTTTAAAGTATAATTCTTGGTCAGAGTGTTTTATCCCTATGTATTTATAGGCTGTATATCTTTTATGAATTGATATACTTAGCTCACTATAAAAAATGCTCTGATACCAATCTGTCACACCCCAAAATCGGAACGGCGGAATCGTTCTGGGGTGGATGACACCATGTCAAGTATCACAACATATGCAGTATAGTAATCAAAGTACAACAACCATTGCATTAATAGTAATAGTTTTACATGGTTTACATTACATTACATCATCAAAGTAATACAAGTAATAATATAGGTGAAGCTTTGTACTAAACTGTCCTCACCAAAAGCTCCTGGGATGTACCTGTCTATTGCTGACCTGAGAATACAAGTTATTTGAAAGCGAGTATCAGCATTTTTACAAATGCTGGTGAGTTCATAAGTATTTAGTGTCATTTTAATTCAAATAAGTTTATACAAGTATTAGTTTTAGAGTACACAGTGAATTAGAGTCCTTTTTAGGAAATCCTATATTTTCTAATTTAAAAGCAATCTTCTACCAAGACTGGACGGAGTTATGTTGTAATAAGTGATTTTTCCCTTAACACTATCATTATCAAAATAGGGTATTGATTGTAAAGAAAGTAGGCGAATATCAGGGAAAACAACATATTCCTCAGCAATCAAGAGTGCTGACTAAGGCAAAAGAAATCATAGACTCCAGGAGAGTATCGAATGAACGACGCGCCTGGCTCAGTCTAACAAGAGAAACCACAGACCCCAGCCAATGTCAAATGAATGATATGTCTAGCAAGGTCTAAAAACAGTGAACACAGACCCCAGACAGTATCAAATGAATGATAAGTCTAGCAAGGTCTAAAACAAAGAGTGAATGTGAACTTGTGTGTAACCATGCTGATCAACGATAGAGTATCCAATGAACCTCCAGGTCACGCGTAGAGGTAGTGGCAGTAGTAGTGGCAGTAGTAGTAGTGGCTTTATGTCACCCATGGACCTTACTGGCGTAGACTGTAGCTAGTAGTCAGGGTGTGGGAGTGTTAGTCCCGTATAGATCTATACACATGATGTTCGCTCTCTTTCTCGGAGACTCTGGTTACACGGCGTTGGCGCAATGAAGCGTCGTAGTGGGAAATAGTGTGTCACATTCGAAAGTAAGATATATATATATATATATATATATATATATATATATAGAGAGAGAGAGAGAGAGAGAGAGAGAGTGACAGATAGAGTCTCCTAACTATTCCTATAGTAGTTACTAGTGTTTCTGATCTGTGAGTGACGAGTGGGAGGATGCCCTTGCTACCCAAGGGAAGTGAACTAATCGATGTAATCCTATATGTCTATGCTTGCATACATAATATATAACTAATGATCAAACGACCTTCGGACGGATATCCGATCCCACCAGACCACATCTCAACGAAGAAAAGGAAATAGGGTGAACAAGCATTCCTAAGTCCTTTAAACATTATTTATATAACTATACAAGCACAGGCATACATTTAACTAAGTAGAAGCATTTAACGAAGATTAAGTGTTTAACGAAGTAGAAGTGTTGCACAAATTATAACAAGTAGGGGCGTATCGTGAAGTAGAAGTGTATCGTGAAGTATAAGCGTATCGTGAAGTAGGAGCGTATCATGAAGTATAAGCGTATCTTGAAGTATAAGCGTATCATGAAGTAGAAGTGTATTGTGAAGTAAAAGCGTATCGTGAAGTATAAGCGTATCATGAAGTAGAAGTGTATTGCGAAGTATAAGCGTATCGTGAAGTATAAGCGTATCGTGAAGTAGAAGTGTATTGTGAAGTAAAAGCGTATCATGAAGTAGAAGTGTATTGTGAAGTAAAAGCGTATCGTGAAGTATAAGTGTATCGTGAAGTAGAAGTATATTGTGAAGTAAAAGCGTATCGCGAAGTAAAAGTGTTAACAAAGTAGTACCATTTAACTAAGTAGGAGCATTAACTAAGTAGAAGTATAACAAAGCAGTAGTATCTAACAAAGTAGGAGTATAAAAACATGGAAGAAAACTTTGATGAAATCTTTCGAAAACCTTTATACTTTAAGAAAATCATTCAAAAATAGGTTTTGATTGTAACCTTGATAAAGTAGAGAAAACCTTTGTTTAAAATGCTTCTATAACAGAGTTTGAAATAAAACATACAACACGAGAGGAAATTTGAGAAAAGCTTTGAATACATAAAGACGTTTTAGAAAACCATTTACAGTATCATACTTGGTAAAACAGTTGACAGTTTAATGAATCCTTGTGCATGCGGGTTATCAATCACATGTTATTGATATGATAACTAACATGTTTAACTTGTATTCCCCCCCCCCCCCATTCAAAAGCATGTAAAAACATTTAAAAGGTTAATTCAGGGGTATGAACTCACCTGTTGTAAGTGGATCCGACGAAGGTTCCGGTTGGGTGCTTGGTGTCAAGTAAAGACTTGAACACACTTAGTGACCTATTAACATATGATGACATATGTTTACATACAATTAGCAAATATAATACTAATTATACATGTATACGCATCCTAAAGTGCAGAAAACACTTTGGTTAAGTGATTGGAGTGTCCTGGGTAACATTTAAGGGTGTGTATGGCTTAGATAGGGAGTTTACTCTTCAAGAGTAAACTCTTTATACATTTTACGGCCCTGGGACTAACTCCTCATGAGTTTACGGCCGTAAACTCCTGGTGAGGGTGTTCTAGGATGCCAAAATGTCTTATATCACTCAAGGAATTAGGCTAGACTCAAATCTAGGGCTTATGAAGGGTTTAAGGCCTCACATGGACCATTTTTGGGAGTTTACAGCCGTAAACTCCTACTCACCCTTTCCTTTTGTGTTTTGAGGTCTTAAATGGTAGAGAATAAAGTTCTATGCATTTTTCCAAGTCAAATGGGGAGTTTAGGGCATCATTTGGGCACCTTTTAGGAGTTTACGGCCCATGGACCTTTCCTAGGGGGTTTACGGCCGTAAACTCCTATTTCCTTGGTTTCTTTAATGTTTAAAGCATTTACATCCGTGGGATTGCTTCTAGACATTTTTCCAAGGCCATAGAGGTCTTTGAGGGCATTTCTAACACTTGAACTTGAGTTTACTCCCCATGAAGAGGAGTTTATGGCCCAAGCATGTTCTTAGGCAGTAAACTCAAGTTTACTCCCCAAAATTATAGTTCAAGGTGTTCTAAGTCCGAATGTGTAAGTCCACAAGTCATATCTAAGCCTTAGGGGCAATTTGGAGGGGTTTTGGGGTTTAAAAAACCCATTTAGGGGTGTTCACGGTCCAAGAGTGTTCTTGGGCCGTAAACACATAACTTGGCTCCTATTTGATGTCTTAAATACGAATTTGCATGTTAGTTAAGCTATACAACAAGTTACGGTAGATTGCTTACTCGTTTGGGGCTCGAAACGGGAGTTTTTGGCTCGAAAACAAGTTGTAGAGAGAGAGAGAGAGAGAGAGAGAGAGAGAGAGTGGAAAGAGAGTGAAAAAAGTATCAAATGGACTCCACCCACCCTTAAATAGGGGTTTGAGTTGGGGCTCAGTGGAAATCTACCCGATACTGCTGTTAAACGGCGCTTTTGATCGCACCCGATTTAGTGGTCATATTTTGACTTGGTTGAAACTAAAATTTTTCAAAGGAAAAATTTGGGGTGTTTCTAATTTGTTTCAACCCTTACCAAGTCATTATAAAATCCCACATTAATTAACCAGTCCAAAAGTTAATGGACAGTTAAATAAAACGAGGCTTATTAACGGAAGAAATGGTTAAAATGACGGAATAAATTTCGGGGTGTCACAATAAAGAAGTGTTGCACAATTAATAATGTATAATTAGTCATGTGCTATTACACATTTTCATATTTTGTGTATTTTTATATAATTCTATTATTTTTGTTTGAACAGCTTAAACATTTCATATTTTGTGCCACCTTGACCGGTTTCTCTTTATTAGTTATTTGATGTATTATGTAACAAATAAGTGAATAACACCATAGTTTGAATATATTGTCTTTGACATTTAATTTTTTTGGAACAAAACATTTTTGTAGATGAAACATATCACCGAAAGAACTTACGTGCTCCGACGCTTTGCACGGGTAGACTGCTAGTATATATATATATATATATATATATATATATATATATATATATATATATATATATATCATTTGAGACTCATAGTTTCTCGAGAACTCATGAACTAAAAAGGGAACGTTGGATCAAAATAAAGGACGATCAAGATACAAGGTGGCATTCTTGTAAATAATCAGAAAACTAAAGAGGTGGGGGCTTTACCAATTAAATTAGAGAAGGTTATTACTGAAAACAAATATATTATTAGTTTATTAAATTATATCTTCTATCTTATTTACTAAAAAAGAAAAAAAAAATTCCTAACGTAACATGCGATCTTCCCCAAACAATCCTCACCTTCTCCAATTATGGTGTCACGATTCCGCCTCCCCCACAGTCGACGCTTGCAAGTCGACTCTTCAGCACCACATCTAGGTAATTATAGGATCTAGGTCATTATCGGAGACCACCACCTACATCGACCATCCCCCTCGGCCATTATCAAAAATGAAGAAGAAGCTAAGAGTTCAAGTCTTAAGTGATTAGTTATGGCTCCGAAATGACGCCAAAACAATCATCGGTGATGAAGGACATCAAGGAGTATCAGGCGGAGAACGACGACATGTTTCAATTGGAGTTGACATCATTTTTGTATTCGATTCCGGTGTCGCATCCATCTATCTTGTCTCCTACCACAACCACCACCATACGTTCCTAGAATCTACATCCAAGTAGAAATCTCCAACTACACTTGTCCCAAAACCTTCTTCTACCGCTGAAGTCTCCCCTAAAATCGTTGATGTACTCGGAGATGTCAACATTCACCACTTCCGAAGAATCCATCGCCTTCAATCAATTCTGGGATCAGTCTCAGGTAATTACCTACTTTCGTATCTCTCTGAATTATCCGTGCACTCTGTGTCACAATGCTCCATGGATCTGCCCAAGTAGTTGTCGGTTCATCCGATGGAACAATCCACATGTTCTCAGTGGATTACATCTCCCGAGGACTCGGAACCGTTGTTGAGAAATACTCCAGAATCACGAATGTCAAACGAAATGGAATCGAAGAAGGTGCGATTCGGACACTGTTGAATTACTCTTCACATGCTGATGATAAGAAGACCACTCAGACGTCTGTAGAAGACCACTCATACACCGGTAATTTTCATCTGCAATTTCTTAGAGTTTCATTTCATTCATGATGTTGTCAGTCTGTTCCGAGCTTCTCAGGTGTCTCTAACATACAATTCGGACTCTGAGATTTACCATGGTGTCTCTTCAAAGTGTCGCCTTCTTCATGGTAGGTTCAATTTCTTATTTTTATTTTTTCGATTTTTTATTTTATATATGTGAAGAAACTCATTATAAAAACATTAGTGATGATTGAGATTGAGTCCTTCATGTGAAGAATTTTGATGAAAAATAAATAAATAAATAAATAAATAGTTAAATGCAATATTCATGTTGTTACCTTTTGGTAGTAAGTTATTGATGCATCACGTAAACAATTCTCAACCCTGTAAGGCAAATTCATGTGAGGTGGTCTATGAAAGCGTAAAACAAGAGATGAATTCTCTTCAGAAATATTCACAACAGCAAACTCTTGTGTATTTTCTTGAGTTTCTGTTTCTTTGTCTTTTTCTTTTATAGATATTGGAAATTTTAGAAAAAATTTCCACATTGAAGCAACAGAAATTAGCCCTAACCAACCTAATCCAACTTCACTTGGAGATAACTGAATAAACAGCAATGAGGGACTCAATCTCAATCATAATCATATCGATACAAGCAACAAGATTTTAGATATATAAAGCAAATGCGTACGTTCCTTTAATTGATGTTGCTTGTTATATTTCTCCATTAGGAATAACTTTCAACTTTTAAGTCTCAATCATTGCTTTATCTAATTATTAAAAATTAGATGTTGATGGTTTTAAAGAGGAAATAAATGGATCCTCAAATGGTTCTCAATCTCACACACTGGAATTTGGTGTTGTGCAAGATGTTGATCATCTTGATGCAATTGGTGCTATTGGTAAGTAATCTTTACTTAATTTGCATTGAATTATCAAAAAAAATTCTTTCTTTAAAAAGTGTACGTATATGCTAATAAACAAAAGCAGTAAATTTGAAGGCCTCCTGAAATCTTGTTATGCTTTTAATGAATCTACTTTTAGATTATGATGTTTTTAGTTTATAAACTTTTATACTCTTCTGGTTCAGGTTTCATCCCGCTTCTATAAACATGAAAGTGGACAAGGATAAAAGAACTGGACACTTATTTTTTTTCAAAGTTGTTTATCTTAAGAACAAAACCAGGAACAAAACAGATGCATATTCATCGAGCTGTTGTAGTGTTGTTGTCAGTGACCTTTGTGCTAATATTTGGAGAGATATATAACTAGTTATTAGTGTTGTATTATATTCCTTTTTACATGATCACGACTAAAGTATTATAATATAATAGGTAATTCCACAAGCAATACCAATAAGATATGGGCTTGTTGTGGGTGTTAATTTTATGGGGCTTGTCTTTGTCTTGATGATTGTTTACTATCTCAATGCTTATCATGTCGGAAAGGTAATTTCTAAAGTGTAGTTGATTATTAATATGATTGATTCTTCAAGATGTAAACCACAAGTAAATCACATATGAATTACATATGATTCACATGTAAATCACAAGTGAATCACATATGAATCACATGTAATTCGCATATGAATTACATGTGATTCACATGTAAATCACATTTAATTCACATATGAATCACATGTAATTATACATATGAATTACATGTGATTCACATGTAAATCACATATGAATTACATGTGATTCACATGTAAATTACATATAAATTACATGTGATTCACATTTAATTCACACATGAATTACATATGATTCACATGTAATTCACATATGAATTACATGTGATTCACATATAACTTACATATGATTTATATGTGATTCACATGTAAATGACATATGAATTACATGTGATTCACATGTAATTCACATATGAATTACATGTGATTCACATGTAATTCACATATGAATTACATGTGATTCACATGTAAATCACATATGTATTTTTGTGAGTGTTTTTGCATCAATCATTTTTTTTAATTTTCTTATAGATTTGGAAGAAATTGTGGTGAATATTGAAGGGGTGAAAATGATAAAATGAAGAAAATATGGAAACATTGACACGAAAACGCTTTGAAAATTTGTAGCATTTTTTTTTTGTTTTTTATATTTAATTTCGTACCGAATAAAACACTTATTCTATTGTGTTTATAGATTAGTAAATAAAATGAGATTTCTTATGATTTCCTTAATATGCATATATATGCATTTGTAAAAATATGCATATATGTACCTAAACTGTTGATTTTTTTGGTTAAAAAATTATAGTATTTTTTAAATATTCCAGTTTGTTTTTTTAATTTTATTGATTTTAAAATGCATTTAAAAATATTTTAGTTTTTTTTAAATATTTTTTTCAATTTTTCTCAAAAGTTCAAGTTTTTTTATAACAAATTAAAAAATCTGCATTTTTTTTAAAAAATTGAAAATTACTATTTTTTAAAATCCAAAATTTTGATTTATAATGTAATTTTTTAGATATTTTTATTAATATTTCCAATAAAACAAAAAATTAAACATTAAATAAGATTGGTAAGATTACGATCATGCCCTTAATGAATTAATTTTGATATAACGCTCCACTTTTAGTTCTCGGGTTCTCGGGAAGCTATGATTTCTCAACCGATCTCACCCCTATATATATATATATATATATATATATATATATATATATATATACATACACACACACACATACGTAGGGTTAGGGTCATGTGAGACCACTCGCGTTTGTGAGTCGGGGAGACCAAATCTTGACCACTCATCTTGAATAATCAAAGGCTGATATTAATTTAGATTAAACCATAAAATAGGCGGTGGCATTTTTCTAAATTAATGGAACTTAGGGATTAGATCAAGACACGGAGGGGCAGGAATGGAATTTTGCATTCTTTTTTGTTCAGCACACAAAAACACCCGATATTCTTCCTAAAAACCTGAGATACGAACACTCATTTGATCCAAATCTCGATCATCATTCTGCTTCCTGAAATTCATCTTCCGATTCTTACACGAAAACCTCGATAATCAACTAGAACCTTAAAAACCTTTTATTTTGGATTCGATATCGATTCAATTGGCTCATTCTACAGATTTTGATTATGATTTTGTATAAAAAGTTGTTCCAAGTAAGTATAATATAATAAACCTCTTGTTCTTATTCAATAAACCTATCTGTTCTTATTATAGAAAGCTTTTTCACTTTAAATCGTTGTGTGTCTTCAACAAATGTCTAATAATCGAGATATTTCACTAGCGATTTATATCTCGAAGTCAGGATGTAATGGACTATAACATTATATAACATACAATCTAAACCTAAATCTCAGTGTGTGATTTATATAGAGTCTATGTATCTAAATGTTAACTCTACATATTATTCAAAAGTGTTCTATATATTCCTCAATTCATTTGATCTAAATGTTCTTAATCAAAATCAGCAAAGATGTTATATTATTCTAACTAATTGTTCATCATTTAATTAGATTTGGATCCATAAATTGTCTAATACTATAGATTTTGGTAACATAAATCTCTTCTTATGATTGTATTATAGTGTTTAGCAAAAAAAAATATTTGTATTCTAGTGAATTTTATGTTGATTGATATTAGAAATTTGTTGTTATGTATTTATAGAACTGTGACCAGATTATATATCCTCAACTAATGTGAATTCTAATGGAATTTGTTGTTATTGATGCAGCTAAAAAAGTGCAAAGAAATGCAACCGTAAGAAAAATAGGGATCGAAATTTATAAATATAAAGGTATAAATTGTAATTACTTAGATTAAATATTATAATTGTTTTTAGTAACTTCTAAATGCTTTTAATAAATATTTTAATTGTTTTTACTTGATAATTTTCTTCATACTGATTTAGGGAATCAAGATTGGGTTAAAAAAGGTATTAACACCCTTTCTTTCAAATAATTCATGAAAAAGCATATGTTTGGATTTATTTTTTTAAGTTAATTATTCTGGATATTCTAATTGATTTTAATTATTAAATTTCATGAAGGAAAATCAAAGAAAAAAATTTGAAAAAAAACATTGTTACTTCTGAAAGCGACTCTGATTCTTCTTGTGTTTCATCCTCACAACATAGAAAAAGAATTAAAAAAAAGGTATCAACAATCATTCTTTAAAATACTTAACAAAAGAAAGTTTTTTGGATTTAATTTTTTCAGTTTATTATTATGAACATTCAAATTGATTACAATAAATATTTTAACTTATTTGAATTTTTAAATTTCTTCATACAACTAAAAATACAAAAGAGAAGAAAAAACTTGAAAAGAAAAAAAGACACAATGTTTCAGATTCTTCATCTTCACAGTCAGAGACATCTACAAGAGAGAGTGATGAATATGGTAAAATATTATAAGAATGAAAATCTACTAAAGTATTATAATAAAATAATGGCATATGTTGTCTTTTATAATATATATATGTTGACAGCGAATAAAAGTATATTATATTCTTCTAATAGAATAATTATTGATGCAGATAAAGTAAATAAAAAGAAAAAAAGAAAAGTCAAAAAATATTTCAAGCATCACATCAAATTAATCAGATACACAATCAACGGGTAAAATAATCTAAACTTCTTTTTTCTGAAATATGATTTTTATACTTTATAATTCAAATATTATAGAACAATAGAAATATTAGAGTGTTTTTAACAATAGTTTTCATAGCCTATGTTTGACATGAATTACTTATGGATCATAACTGAAATTCTAGGTATTTTGATGTGAACGTATTTTTCTAGTGTTTATTGATGTGAAAGTATGTTTCTTTGATATGAAATGTTAATGGTTCATATTACACATTCTTGATATTATTATATCATAAATCATATAATACTTGATTTTTGTTGTTTTACTTAACTGATATAGGATTTTGCAACATTTAAGTTTATTTTTTTTAAAGAACAATATAATTTGAATAAAAATCTACATTTTACTTAGATGATATAGGATTTTTGGATTAAATTTCATAGAACATTCTGATATAATAAGTGTATTTGTATAATATTCTGTTGGAATATTACTTTGTAATTAGATTATATAGGATTTTTGGATTTTTGTGGTGTTACTAACATTTATGACTGGTGTAATGAATTAGATGATGAATCTGATGAAGAAATCTATGTAAAAAGGAGAAACGACGTTAGAAAATAGTTAAAGTAGTGACAAAGATTAAAAAATCAAAAAGGAAGAGGAATAGTGGGGACAATCGTGCAGCAATAAAGAAGCAAAAAACCGTTAAAGAGCAAAAGACTATGAAAGATGTATTGAAGGAGTTGCCTTCAATAAACACTAGATCGACACCTGGATTGATGACAGATGTTGTAAGTTCGTTGATGTCAGAACAAAAAGATTGGGTGAAACGGACGGGATTTAAAGCATTTTTGAAGATCAACATGAAGAGTATTCCCTTAAAACTTTGTCATTTTGTGCTTGAGCATTGTGATGAAGGCACAAACAGTATTCTAATTAAAGGAAAAATAATAAAGATCACAAAGGAAAAAATTCATAAAGTATTTGGTTTACCCAAAACTGGAAAAAGCTTATTTAACTTAGACATGGTTAGCGAAGATCATCAAGTGTTTGATGGATCGATGAAGGAACTTGAAGGTGGAAAGGCACATGCAACAAACTACAAGAAGATTATTCAAAAATCTGAATAAGTGGATATGAATTTCAAGTTGGTTTTCATAGCTTTATTTGTTAATACGTTTGCAGATTCCATTCATATAGGGACAAACAACTTAGTTCCAGTTAGAGCACTTGTTGAAGTAGTTGACATGTCTAAAATCGATTGGTGTGCGGATTTGTTGTATTGTGTGAAAAATTAGAAAAGGGAGATGGTGTCCAGACAACACTAAGTGTTATTATAGAGGCCCAATATGATGTTGTTGCTATTGGTATGTTTTTTCATGTACTTATTTTTTTTTTTTTCTTAAAAATGGATATCTAATATGATGTATAAATAATGCAGCTAATTTACTGTGATGAAATTGAATGCAAGCTCCAAAAAATAGAACGTAAAACACCATTAGTTGCGATGTGGACAACAAATAAGTTGAAGGAAAGACAATCTTTTGAGATTGAAGCTAGTGGATTTGGGGTTGGAAATCTAACTGTTAAACGATTACAATAGAAGTTTCCAGAGAATGAAGAAAGACAAGAAGAAGATAAAGATATGAAATTTGACGAACCAATAATTTGGGTTTAGAGAATAATATTGGCGAGGAAACTATTAGACATCTGCACAATCCAGAAAGACAAATAGAATTTGAAGGCATAAATGTTGATGACAAAATAAATTTGGCTTTAGAGGTGAATAATATAGACGAAACTATTGGAAAGAAGAATTTAGAAGAGAATGTTAAGCGCAAAAATCTTGTTGAGGGTGGTGAAATGATTGGTGAGGAGAAGATTAGGGAGAGAAATATTATAGAGAAGGTGGTTGGAGACAACATAGGTGAGAGCTCAACTATTACACCAAAACACAATCCAAAAGGTATATCTATTGATTTTTCCCCTTGGTCAGATTCATTCATAGAAAATCTAAACGAGGATTTGTTTAGAATATTCTCAAACAGAAATCCAGATTCAAATGCAATTCCAAATCCAGTTGTCAAATCTCCTTTTCCAAAAAAAAAACTAACATTTGAAAATTCAGAATTTCCTTCCTTTGATCTTTAAAAACCCAACTAATGAATGATGCAGAAACTGGTGATAATTCTGAGGGTATTGATGAAAATGGATAGTTAGAAGGGAATGAAGAACATATTTTAGATGAGAAAGAGAAAAAGGGTTAGAATGTGAATGAAAGAGAGAAAAGGAAGGTGACTAATCCAGATATTTTTATATCACCTTTTGTGAATAGGGTAATTGACTTAAGTGAAAAAGTCAGTACTGGGCAACATATAATGATGCAAATCATGTTTAGATGCACTCGAGACAAAGATCCAATGTAAGTAAATTCACAATCTTTAGTAAATTTTTTTTATTAGATATGCATATTCTTGAAGGAATACTTTTATAAATTTGAGTATTGTGTAATATTCTTATTGGAATATTGTAACACTATTCAAAAGAAAATATTATCCTAATTAATTTACATTTGTTTTAGTTAAATAATATATTTTAACTACAATGCAATATTTTTGTTTGAAGGGAAATGTAGTTTGAAACTGAATCTGGAGACATAATGGATAGGGTGCATTTTGAGGGTATGCGTCCAAATCATAAGATAAATCCTTTCATTATTGATTGTTGGGTTGTTGTTCTTAATTTTGAAGTAGAAAACCTAAGAAACAAAAAGTCAGCACCACGTGTCTTCTTCAACACTCAAATTATGGTACTTAATTTTTAAGTTTATTTTCTATATTCTAATTATAATTTATAACAATGTATTCTAATATTTCTATTGTTCTATATGTACAAACGGAAAAATTATTGGATGCTTCAATACCTTTTTTCGAAAGATTGCGACTTTTTGATGAGGTTGTAAACAATTACTTATATGACATCAAAAGAAAAGTAGATTTCAAATCTATTAATATGGTATGTTTTTTTTATTACAAGATAACATATTCATATTAAAATTTATAAAATTCATCTGTATTTATGTTTGAACTACAAGCGTGTTTTCCGATACACAATCGTGGTCATTTTTATGGTCTTGTTTTCAACCTTACAAATCCAAAACATATAATCATTAACAAGCAGCATCAGATACACCAAAAAAGTAGAAGATATCTGTGGAGAGATTCCTAAACTTGTGGTAAATGTTTCTTGCATAAATCTAAAATTTTTGTTCTAATCATAATTGTTTACTTTAAAAAACCACTCTATATAAGTAAATAAATTCTGATTAGAATATAAAATATAATATTTATATTCTTATCATATTTATTTACTTAATATATTTATAATTTTAGAAAAATATTGGTATTTTATTAATATATATTGCAACATATGTACTTTTCAAAGTTTTTGGACAACAATCGACATGATAAGGTTTCTTTGTTTAAATTTGTGAAGCCAATGAAAATAAAAATGGCATGGCAAATAAAAGCTAAGATAAATGATGATGGTATATTTTTAATGAGGCACATGCAAAAATACATAGGTGAGAAAGACAAAAAGTGGGATGGGAACTAGGAGAAGAAAGTGTTGGGACATCTAAAAAGATTGCAAAGTTGCGTACATTTTATGTTGCTAAGCTAGCAAACCATCAAATTAACAAGCAGAGAAAAATGAATGTTGCAGAAGCATTGAAATTTTCAAAACTTGATAAGAAAACCAGGTGTATGTTGGTGAAAGAAGGGAGTGAAGCAAGAGACAAGTTGGAAATGAAGAAAGTTTGAAAAAATTTTATATTGACTTATTACATACAAATAGTTTATTTTATGTTGTGTTTTTTTGTAAAAATACTTATGATTGAGGATATGCTTAAACCATTGATATTTTGGTAAATGATATGCTTAACCCACTTAGTTGGTATCTTGATAAAATATTTACTGCTTAATAGTAAATGATATATAGCGTTTAAAATTTTTGTTTGATGATCCCTAATTATTTGACTAAAAAATTGTTTGGTAAAATGATAAATGATTAAAATCCATATATGTTTATTATTCTTATACAATAATGTTGACAAATAAAAACACATATTGTTAATATTGTATTAAGCTTATTCTAATTTGTTTTATGTTAATTATTCTGATTATTCTAGTTTCATTAAAATACTTAATAATAAAACGTTTTATTATCTAACTATAATACAATATGTAATTTTGTTTTAGAATATTTTAATAAAAATAATATATGAAATTAGACTTAGTTCTTGATACAATAATAAAAGAATAGAATAATAAAATTTTAGTATATTTTAGGACATCTTACTTTAGAAAATAAAGTACATTATCTCTATTAGTAGAAGTAAAATTTTAGAATAAATGAAAATATTTGTTTTAGAATATTTGTAATTAAGTAATTTTATTTTACAATTAAAATAATATCATAACTTTGTTTTAGAATATATGTAATTAAGTAATTTTATTTTACAATTAAAATAATAATTGAACCAAATTGTAAGTTTTTAAATTAAAAGGGACTAAAAATACTAGGACTTATTTGCCATGGACGAAAAAGGGACAAATGTAATAACTTTGAGATTACTACTTATTCACGAGTGAAGAATATTAAAATAAAAAAACTCAATTTCTTCATCTGTATTCTCAAAACCCTCTTCCAAACTGCTTATCATTTTTGGATTCAACTCATCAAACACTCCATCAAAACCCTAACTTCTTGTACTTTTGAACTCGTCATCTTCGATTTCTCCTTGGATCGGTATCATTTTTCGATGTTGTGAATCCGATTTTCACTTGAAAATGTCGATAAAAAACCTAAAACCTTGTCATATCGATTTTAAACTTTTTGATTCATATTATGGTCTTTAATCCCTTGATAAAACCCTAAACCTACTTACTTTGATTCTTATCGAGTATTTCTATCAACAAAAATGGCTACATCAACACATGCTTCAGAATCTACACCATCAGATCATCCAAATGACATTGTTACCAAAACTCTCAAGAAATTCTAGGTATTTCAGTAGTTCTGTTTATTATCATTTTATATCCTTGTTTCCGTTTGAAAACGACGATGTTGCTTCGAGAACTGATCTTCTATTATTGCTCCAGTCTCTAATAATTAGGGCTCTTGGGCTCTTGTATCTTAGTAAGTCCCATTATTAGGATCATAAAGTGAAATAGGTGAAATGAAATGAAATAAGATGCAAAATACACCATACCTTCAAGAAGCAAGTGAAAATGTAGAAAATAACATCAAATTAGGCTTCTATTAATCAATCCAGTTTATGAATCAAACCATCAAGAGTAAGCAGTGTTCTAAAAGGCGCGCCATGGCGTGAGGCGTAGCTCCGCCGTTACGAAAAGCCTCATAACGTTGCTGTTAGGCGTGACGCATGACAAGGTGTGATATGGCGCGCCATGGCGCGTTATGGCGTATTATGGCGCATGTTTTTTCGTTTGAGACATGCTTTTTTGCTCTTTGTTATGTCTTTTCTAATCGTAGATACAAGTATTGTGGTTTTCGTTAAAATTTGGTTACTAGTTATTGATCTAATATTTATAAAAAGTAGTTATATTTAATATAAATTTATATTTATGTTGTAATATAATTTTAAATTAATACAAAATTGCCGCCTTACATCACGCCTTTAAAAACGCCATGGCTCGTTAAGGTTGAGGCTTGACCTTGCCGCCACGCCACACCTCACGCCATTTAGAACCTTAGGAGTAAGTATTATGATCCTAATAATGGGACGATTTTACCCCTGTTTAAAAAATGGTTGGTTTGAGAGATTTTTAGAATCGTTTGACTTATACCTTGTTGAAAGTTGAAATTAGGTGGAAATTCCCTTGTGTAAGTATTATGATGAGTTAGAATATAATTTTGTAATAAATGTAAGTGTTTTTCTATTACAGACAACAATTAAAGTGTATTTAACATTAATTATTTTCACGCAGCTAATATTATAACAATAATGACAAAATCAAAAATAAAAATGATGACATTAGATAGAAGTAGTGAAGTAGAAACTTCAATAGGCAAACGGTTGGTTTAAAAAAGAAAATCATCGAAGTCGATCGATGAATCAACAGCTACAGCATCCAAAGAAAAAGAAAAAAAAGTACATCATCAGTTATTCTTTTCTAACAAAATATTTATCTCATTTCTTTATGTTATTCTATGTATTATAATAAAATATTCTATATTCTGTTAATGTTTTTCTATATTCTATTAATCTTATTCTAATATAATATTTTTAAATATTAATCTAATTTGTTTATGTTATTCTATGTACTATAATAAAATATTCTATGTATTATAATAGAATATAAAAGAATAAATGATATATTATGTATTCTAATAAAATATTTATCTCATTTGTTTTTGTTATTCTATGTATTACTCTAAAATATTCTTTATTCTATTAATGTTTTTCTATATTCTATTAATCTTATTCTAATAGAATATTTTTAAATATTAATCTAATTTGTTTCCTTATTCTAATAGAGTAATTTTAAATGTTACTCTAGAATTTGGATATGATAAATCAATTATTAATTCCTAATTTGATTATGAAAATGGCAATAAACAACAAGAATGTCGGATATGGGTAAACTCATTAAAAAACATCAATAGCCGAACGACTAATTGAAAGAAGAAAATCATTGAAGCTTATTGATGATTCAACGAATACAATAGCAAAAGCCAAAGAAAAAAAGGTATATCATCAATTATTGTATTTGTACTATAATATCTTGTGTATTAATGTTATTCTAATAGCAAGAATGTCATATATAGGTAAAATTCATATTTGTTATTATTGATTATGCATTTACAATTAGAGTTAGCAAAAACAATTTACATAGTTCTTTTAATTGGAGATTTTGTGTTGACTAATAACAAGTTAGTTAAACCCTAATGGGTTTTTGCGTAACCCTAATGACTAACAGTTTGGACTTAATTATGTGATTAGGTATTTAACTCATGATAATTAAAGTTTGGAAGAAAGTTTCCATATAATCAATTTGATCGATTTTGCCCTAATACAATGTATTGACGATTTTACCCTGTTTCAAAAATGGTTGGTTTCAGAGATTTTTAGAATTATTTGACATATACCTTGTTAAAAGTTGAAATAAGGTGACAATTACCTGGTGTAAGTATTATGATGAGTTAGAATATAAATTTGAAATAAATGTAAGTGTTTTTCCTATTACAGACAACAATTAAAGTGTATTTACTGTAATTATAGAATGTTGTTGGATTTTCTGAAGTTATCAAAGTTGGTGCTTGACGTTGACTTCGTTATTAATTATATTGATGTCTCAAGATTCATTGGCTTCTGAAACACAGTAGATATATTCATATAGATGTTATTCTAATAGAATATTTTGAAGTGTTAATTATGTATTCTATTTTTATGATGTTATTATCTTTTTTCTAATATTATTTATTCTGAAAATCCATTGAACAATAGGGCAAAAAAGGTGCATTTTGAAGATGAAAAAAAAAAAAAAGGAAGTTAGACAATACGAATGATAACATCGAGAAAAAGACACAAAAAACAACAAAAGATTTAATAAAAGATCTGCCTTCAAAAAATGTGTAAAGAAGATGGGTTTTGGATCGCTTTTGGAGTTGAACATCAAGAGAATTCTGTTGAAGCTTGCACATTTTGTTGTTCAACATTATGATCATCAAAAGAATAATATTGTGCTTGATAAAAAAATTAAGATCTCAAATGAAAAGATTTATAAAGTCTTTGGTCTACCAAATAGAGGAAGAAGTTTGTTTTATTTTCATTTTGTTGACAGTGAGAATGAAACGTATGTTACATGGCAAAGCCAGTTTACAAAAGAAACAATGAATGAATGTCACTGGATTCAAAGAAGCCATTCTGAAATCCAAAAGATATGATGTTATCTTCAAGCTAAATTGTCTTTCTTTGTTTGTGAATACGTTTTTTGAATCACATTCTTATGGGACGTGCAACATAGATCCTGTTAGAAGAGTAGTTAGAGTTGAAGACATCTCATGCATTAATTGGTGTGCGTACTTAAATTACTGTCTGAAGAATACAAGATCTCTATGGCATCAAGATAAAAAGAAATGCTATTATAATGGGCCAGTGTTGTTATTGATGGTATGCTTTTTATTTAATTATTTTAATTATTTTTTATTTATGAATATCTAATACAATTTACAAACTACTATCATGCAACTACTTTACTCTGATGGTCTTGAATGTCCCATAAGAATTATCTTAACTTTTTGATCAATTTGTTGGAATTGCAGGTTGTTTTCCTAATAAATAATGGTGACCATATGTATGTTGTTGTTTTCAACCTAACATATCCACAAGTTCATATTATAGACAACATAAAAACAAAAATTGTTAGAAGAAACGTATGGAGTTACACCTACATCATTAGTAAGTTTTCATTTACTTTTATTAAATGTATTCAACTTACAATATAATAGACTGAATAATGTAATTTTGTTAATATACATTGCAGAAATTGTACTTCATACGATATCTGGAGAAAACTACATTTATCGTCAAAAAAATCAAAGGTTTGCTATCAACAATAGTGAAGATGATGAAAATTGACTGGAACACAAAGAAGTTGACAACAGAGAATAGAGCATTTTTAATGAGACATATGGAAAATTATTGTGGAGAAAAGTAAGGAAAGTGGAATGTGGAAATGGAAAAAGGTAGTGATGTGCAAGATGTGCAATTTGTAAAATTATGTGCCTGATATTCTATTAAGATTGCTACACATGAAATCAACAACCACAAGGAGAGAGTTATCAAAGAGGCAATCGAATTTGGAAAATTTGATCATCTGACTAGAAAAAAGATGTTAGAAGAAGGTATCAATAGAATGGATGAATTGGAAATGGGTAATAAATAGAATTTGATAGAAGTTTGGAATTTTATAAACGTGGTTATAGTGACTTAACAACAATTCCTTTTGTAATATCTATCTTATTTTGAACAAATTAGACAAAAAAAAAATGATGTCTAGTATTATGTAAAAAACTTGATATGGTTTATTAGGTGATTAATGCTTAATGTATAGTTGGTATTATGATCACTTCTTAATGGTCACAGTAGAATATTCTATAGTAAACATAAATTTTTTAGAATATTATAATAGAATAATGTATAATGGCATCATTATTCTATTAGAATAATATTAGATGTTGCATATACCTATATAACATTATTACATGTATAATCTTGTATTATAATAATTCGATAACAAAAGATCATACTGCAATCATTCGTATATACTTCAATGCAAAAATTAAAGATTGAAAATAATAGAAGAGTCAATATGTTTTCAAATGTATCACACATCATCACAAACCAAATGTCTCATACATCATCACAAACCAAAACATCTAAAAATGTCCAAACTAAAGAAATTTAAACATTTTATCTATATGGTATTATTGAACTTTATTGAAATACAAAAAAAAAAAATTGAAATATATTTCTAGACACAACTATGAACTTTGTACATTAGAGGTATTCAACAATGTCAAACATTTCCTTGAATTATGCCCTTTAACCCCACATGTTTTGCATGATCTTGATTGCTTGTTACCTTGAATAGTAGCCTTCTCCAAAGCACGTTTTAAACGTTTTCATGTAGCAGAACCTTTATTCTTCACCATAGGTGGATTTTCAACATCAACAACTTGAGGATTCGTAGTAGCTTCATAAAGTTTATCAATATGAGCTTCTTTTGTAACCGGTGATTCGTCTGAACCTTGTTCACCAATATAAGTCATAAAAACTTCTAGCTTTTGCATGAACTCTTCTAACTTCTTGTCATCATTACTTAATGAAGACAAGCATTAATCAAGCATCGAAAAAGCTTTGTATGCAACCTTCTCAACATTTCCAAACGAATCACCATATCTAAGTGTCCTTTTCAAAACTTTGGTGGGGATAATATCTCTTATCCATTTCTTAAGAATGTATCTTGATGGAATGTTTTATATGTCATAAATCTTTTGAATACAGAAGATGTGTATACAAAAAATTCCAAATCGCTCAAAAAGCATGCATAAACTTTTCACTATTAGATCTTCTCTGATGAATTCAACCTGTTTCAAAAGTATGAGGATATTAAGTATATTCAAAAAAGAAAAATTAGAATATTTTTTAAAAGTATTAGAATTTTAAGTATACTCTAAAAAGAAAAATTAGAATAATATAAAAAAAAAATTAAGACAATTATTAGAATTATAAAATGTCAACATTACCTCGAAATCACCTTCACTTGTGTTAAAATTCCATTCACAATCGATGTCAACTTTTTCTTTTTTCTCAACTACTACCTTCTTTTTTGATAGATTTGTCCTTTTATGTTTCACAATGCATATGTCGGAAACAACGCCTAAAGTAACACTCTTCTGTGAACAAGAAACAAGTGAATGAAGAATTTCCCTCTCCACCATGAGAAACATAGTCCTGATTTATACCATAGATGCATGTTTCCCCATATCTTCAAGAGGTCTTTTGATGATTCGAATTATAGTAGATGTATCAAAATCAAATTTGATCTAATTATTCCTTTGCCTTTCCATAACAAACTCAAAAGCATTCATGAAATTGTTTAACGTATAACCATGATCTGATACCCTATTGAATCCTAAATTCTCACTTTCCGACTGAGAAGTTGTTCTCATTATACCTGACATCGGTACATCTTTAAAATAGGATGGAATCCAACTACTTCTCAAATCAAACATATCTTTCATCCATTTATTGTCTTGTAACTTATATTTTACCATTAATGCATCCCATCTCATTTCAAAATCTTTCACCACAATTTTGGAGTCCCATATTATACTATTGAGGTCTACCTTAAAATCCGATTCATTCATTGTTTCCCAGCTTATATTCAAAAACAATCCATATATTATTCTATTAGAATATAGTATAGTATAAAAAGGCATTTCATTTAATATATTACCCTAATTACAAAAAATATTTCATTTAATATTTTGATAAGACTATAATATAGTATAAAAAGGCATTTCATTTAATATATTATTCTAATTTCAAAAAATATGCCATTTAACATTCTGATAAGAAAAGAACAATAATGTCATATTTATATTGAAAATAATGTCATATTTATATTGATAAGAATATAACAATAATGTTAGTACCTTCAATGGAAGTTTACTTGTGATATGCCACATACAAAATCTATGTTTTGTGTATGGCAATACTATCTCAATAGCTTTTTTTCATTGTTGGATCTTGATCGGTCACAGCCATAAGTGGTGCTTTTCTAAAACACTTCAAGAATGACCGAAGTAACCAAATATAGGAATTTATATCTTCTCTACACAACAAACCAACTCTAAAGTGATGCACCTTTTGTGATTATTAATGCCAGTAAAGGTACAAATACCATACAATACCTAAAAAAACACAAAAAAGACCATTAGAATATATAACTAACAAATATTTATAATTCTAGAATAAATACTTGTTTGTACGATATGTTGCGTCAAACGAAACAACGTCCCCAAATAACTCAAAGTTTGGTTTTGTAGTGTCATCAGCCCAAAATAGAGCATTTAACTGCTTCTTGTTACATCTGTATTCATATGTCAAATTTGTAACATTCTCTTTACGATTTTGAAACTTTGTAATCAACAAATTTGCATTAGTGCCGCCGATGTGATAATTTATATCCCTTGTAAAATTTTTCCAATCTATCTCTAGTCCACCAACAAATTCACATCCTCCTTTTATAACGCACATTAGCCTATATGTTGTAGTTGCCCCCACCTTTTCACTCGAAAGCTTATATATAAAAGCTTGATCAACAACATACAACTGGCGTTTAGCTCTTAAAAGATGCATACAATCTTGATTGATCAATTTGTGGTTGTGCTGTTGTTCAAAATGCCACAGGTAAAATTCTGAAGAATGTGGTATAACAATGAATGCAACAAAATCTTTGCAATTTGTGAGCTTAGAATTACTATTTCTCAACTGCTTTTTATGATCATCACTAGTCGTGTCTAAGGTAGAAGTGTTTGGCAATCTCCCTCTATTACATATAAAATATTTAGAAGTTGTGATTCCACTTTTTTTCCTCTCTTTTGATTTTTTAATATCAAAACCAGATCTTAATGCATATCCTTTATACCACTTAATAGCATCTTTGATATCTTTAAAAACTGAACCTAGGGGAGGTATCCAGCTATCTTCAACCTATGGAATCCAAAAGAAAGAACCATCAGCTCCAATGAATTGTTTGCAAGAGTCATATTGTGCTGCAACATTGTCACTTTGAACTACAAAAAAGAATATACCACCATGTTAACATATAATCAGAATAATTTGCATTCATATAACTGTAATCATAAAAAACCCCAATGTTATATGTGGATTATTTTATAAGCATAATATGTAGTAACATGAACTTATCAACAACATCATTCTATAAGAATAACCGATATTAGTAATAGAATTACCTTGGATTTCCGATTGATTTTCATAATTATGCAGAATCTCTGAAACACAAAACTGAATTGATGATTTTCTTCATCTTAATGATCATTTTCGATGTCATTCATATCTAAATCATCCATAACTATTACTAGGTTAAAAATTGAATATGTTATATGCAACTAACAATGAAAGCAATGAAAATGCAAACCTTGATCAATTGATCAAATCATGATATAATGTAAAATTTAACAAAATTACCTTGTGTTTTCGATTGATTTTCCTCGTTATGAAGAGTCTATGAATCATTAGAACCGAACTGATGATTTTCTTCACCGAGATGATTGTTTTCAATGCCATGCATATCCAAATCATCCATAACTGTAATCATTATTGATATATAAATGTATGTACAATATTCTATAAGAATAACATGCAATCTCATGAACTTATCACTAAGATGATGTTAATGAAAAGCAAATAGGCTGGAAAATTCACAGCTTGAAAGATCGTAAGCAATTCTTGAAGATGAAGATTAGTAGAAATCATTGAACACTTGAACCTCTACCGAAATTGATGATCATGGAGTTAAAATTGATCAAAATATTCTAATGAATTGCTAATGTCAATACATGAACATAAACATCAATCAATCAGATTATCAATTGCAGATGTAGAAGAATAAAGAACATGAACTCGAAAAACACAAAAATCACGAATTTAAAAGCTATGATTTAGCATCATTCGATCAATGTCCAAATCAAATTGATTATCGGTTGAAAGAATATAAGATTGGAGATATAATATCAATAAAAATGAATTGAAGAATAAGGAATGTTGATTCATCGAACAAATTGGTAGAAAAACAGAACAAGTGAGATGATTTCTTGATGACATGAAAATCAAGCTAACCTGATATCTGATCATCTTAAATTTAACCTAGTGACTAATCTACCCCTAATTAACTAACCAGTTAGGTTAATTAGTGTTAATCCCTTTTTTATGAGCCACAAGATCAAATTTGATCAAAGGCTAAGATTTGGTCCCCATGTAACACAAAATATTGGTGGTCTCATATGAACCTTTACCTCTCTCTTTCTCTCTCTCTCTCTCTCTCTATATATATATATATATATATATATATATATACACACACACACACTAAGTGTAAAACTCATGGGACCCATGGTTGATTAATTTAAACAAAATCATAATTTTGATTACATAATAAAATAATATGCCATATTTAAGAAAAAAAGATAAATACATAATAATAGTATATTTATTTTATTAACATTTTCATTTGTAAGTATTTAAAATTTATAAATTTTAAGCAATAAATTTGTTAATTATAACAATTTATTTAACATGAATAAATCAAACACAATAAATTAATATAATTAAATCAAGTTATATAATTGAATTAATTAATATTAAAAATAAAAAAAAGATGATACAAAATAATTGATTATAAATTACCAAAAACTTCCTTATAAAAAACATTAGAGGTTTTATTGGTTAGCCTACCATCTTTATCTAAAAATAACAATTTTAATCCCTCTCTGATTTGTACTCTAGATAAGGCAACATATAATTAGCCATGTGAGAAAACAGGATCTTTGAGGTAAAAACCAACCTTGGATAACGATTGTCCTTGACTCTTATTAACAGTCATAGCAAAACATACAACCAATGGAAACTATCTTCTTTGGGATTTGAATGAATTTTTTTTCCTGATGGGGCTAAAGACATTCATGGAATAAAAGTACGATTTCCAATATTACTTCCAGATAATATATGTGCCTCGATAACACGTTTGCCCAATGATATCACTTGGAGTCTTGTTCCATTACATAAGCCATTTTTCTGATCAATATTTCTCAGTAACATAGCTGGAACACCGATTTTTAAAACTAACTTATGATTTGGTAGACCCAAAACTTTCAGACCATTAAAAACATCAGGTGAGTATAAATCTGCATCAAACTGATCATGGACAAATTCAGATTGGCATATAATATCTGAACTTAAATATTCAACCTCATCTCCTGGAAACTTAAATAGCAAACGGTCATTTATTTCTTGAACCATTCATTCTTTGGAGCTAGTATTGCTCTTTCTTGAAAGTAACTTGTATTGTTGTAATTCTCCAAAATCGAAGGATATAAAAACTCAATTAATGAACCTATAGGATCTTGTGGATCACTAGTGAGAATATCATCGGGAATATCAATAACCGTTTCATCGTCATTCTGACCACCAAGTTTGCCTTCTCCTATATCCAATAGCCATTCGGCAAAATCTCTAATTTTTTCTACATCAGACTGATCCCTTCCAACCGTTAGCCTCATGTTTTTTGTTAACTTATGTATTTTGCATTATTGTCATAAATATGAAGAACTTATTGAAGCATTAACAATGTTTTGTCTGCTGCCACCCGGAATAACAGGCAAAATTTTTCTAAAATCTCCACCAAAAACAATAACTTTCCCTCCAAATGGAATATTCGACTTGGTAGAATTTTCAGACCTTAATACATCTTTTAAACATCGATCTAAAGCTTGAAATGCATGCTTGTGGACCATAGGTACTTCATCCCGAATTATCAAAGATGTTTTCCTCAATAAGCTAGCGAGCTCACTACTTCGATTTATTTTACATACAAAATCCTCAGTAAGTTCAAATGGAATTATAAATCGAGAGTGCGTTGTTCTACCTCCGGGCAATAATCATGAAGCAATCCCTTGAAGCAACATTTAAAACGATATGACCATCACATCTAACTGCTGCAAATATTGTCTTCCATAAAAAAGTTTTACCTATTCCACCGTAACCATAAACAAAGAAGACACCTCCTTTATTTTTTTTAACTGCACCCATGATATCAAGGAAAATGTCATGTTGCTCATTTGTTAATGCAAGAAGCATACGGTCAAATTTAGTCTTTATAATGGGAATGTCATAATCTAGCTCCTTGGTGATAAGTCGATTGTTTGAAGAAGAAACATAATCAACGTTCGGGTAAGGCATGTTTTTATAATTTTTGAGAGTGTTGTTGTTACGAAGTAAAATCTATTCTATCTCGAACATATTTAAGTTCATAAGCCGATCTTCACTAAGAGTTAAGCCTGGAGGACAAAATATCAAATTAATTATATATATATATTATTAACAATATTTACTTATAATTATAAATTTATCAAATGCATGTTAGAAAATAAATAATTTAATTTTTAAATAAATAATAATAATAATATTATAATACATGTACACTTGAATCTCTGTCGTTGATTATAAAGAATTCCATCTGCCAAATACTCCCATGTATTTTCCCAAACAACTTCTGGTTTAGACATACTGTTACACATCAACAATGTGGCAAATAAGAACCGTAGATAAAAACCAGATCCAGAATGACTTGCTTCTTTAATTGCATCAATGTATTCTTTGTCATCATCCAAGAGCCCAAGAGCATAACAAGCATCTCTAAAAGAAAAATATTCTTCACCATTTACTGTACAAATCTCTTCAAATGATCTCGGACCTTTCACCTTATTTAAAATAATCCTTAAGAAATAAGCTTCCCCTAGATTAGGTGTAACCGAATGAATTCTACCAATGCACTTTCCTACTTCCCTAGGCTTCTAAAACGTATCCTTACGATTCCAAACAAACTTTGTCGAAAATTCAACATACGTAAGCTTCCGTGCATCATGAGAAATTGCATTACACTCCATCCAAGATGTGAACATTGAAGCAGCAACAAAAGGTTTGTCCAAAACAACATCAATATCACCGTCTTCCCCATATACAATCTGTTGTTGACCAGGAAGATGAAAAGGTAGTCTAACTACAGAAGGATACATGTAATGAACATCATATTTAAAAATTCACCATGACGCTTCACATGCAGATAAATATCTACAACCGTAATGTTCATTTATTTCATCAACCACTTGATGATTATCACAATCATTGTTGCTTCGTAAAATGGAAATTGTAGCTCTATCAGGTCCTTTGTTTATGTATTTGAAGAAATACTTTATAGAAGATCCCTGATTGCACCATTTAACATTAATATGTGCCTGGTATCTTTTCAATAAATAGTTGTTGTAGGGGACAACATTTCTATTATCCAACTTGACACCTGATTTTTCAACAAAATGACCATTGTTTCTTCTCCTATATAAGGGAAAACCATCTTGCTCAACAGACGTATGATTACAGAATTCCTTTGGAAATTTTTTAGAGCACTTTTTGTCCACCATGCATGAGCAATTGATATTTTCACCTCCACATGGACCATGAATCATGAACTCATTCACAAGTGACTATAATTCAGGGTCTTCATCTTTGTTTGGTAATTCGGCAGATATTATGGGATCAATAAATTCAACAACAGGTAACTTGTAGTCAGAATGCATGAACAGACGTATATCACTATGTGGCAAACCTCTTTTTTGAAATTCAATTGTATAAACAACTACAAAATATTTTGCACAAAAAAATATGGTTAGACCGTAAGCAAAATGTTAAAAATATGAAATAAAAAACATTTAATCTCATCAATTATGAGATAAGTTAATTTTAAATACCTACTTGAACTATGTCGAAGATATGACTCTCCCTTAAGTCTTTAATAAAAGCATCAAGCTTGATCTTGAACAACCTACATAGTATATCAGGTTTGTCTTCTGGTTGAAGTGAAGTATCCTTAAGAAACCTTTTGACCTCTGGCCATTTGGGATTACACGTAAAGGTTATGAAGAAATCAAGATATACAAACCATTTACATAATGACATGGCATCCAAATAGTTTTGTAGCGTATAGCGTGCACCACAAGTAAATGATAAAGGTAATATCACAAGTTGTCCGACGTTGGAGATACTTGTAGCTCCTTGAGCTTTTTGTGTAACACCGTAAATTTCAAAACCAATTTTTTTGATTTCCTAATAAACATAATTCGATTAATATTCACCAAACAACCATATTAATTATCCAATATAAGTTAATACAAAATCCCAAGATCACAATGTAAAAATTCCGAGTGTGTGTGTACGGATCAAGCCGGCGCCTTCCCACAGTCGTCACTAGTACCTGAAACAAACAACATCAAACAATGTAAGCACAAGGCTTAGTGAGTTCCCCAAAATACCACATATAACACATATTAGCCACTCGAGGATATAAATTTGTGGGTCCGTGCACCCAAACTCTGTGAACCCTCAGGTTCTAGCTTTGATAAACATGCACTACATAAATCACATAGAAATAATGCAGTACAATACATAACATACATAGCATACAATACTCTATCACATAACTCAGGTTACCTACTCAAGGTAATATAGTATAGTGA